ATTTATATGTACATAACTATCAATGTTGGCATGTTTTTTTACAAAATATATATTAAACAAATATGTAAATGAAATTGATAGGTTGTTACAGGTTTTACAGTTTATTGTGAAACATCTGTCAGTTTTTAATTAATGTTTAAACTATAAACAGATTTCCTGCATCAACAAGGAAATCTGAACAAAATAAAGTTTGGTGTGAATTCTAAATTTAATTTCATGATTGAAAATACATCATGATGTGATCAGAAACAAGAAAAACTATATTTTATTTCAGCCATTTATTGTTTGATTCTGTTAATAAAGCAAAAGTAACATTTATTTACAAATTCTGAAGGTTCCAAACAAAACTACAACCTAATAATCCAACATCCATCAACTTTCTCCTCTAATCTAACAGATTACAGATGTCATGAAGTTTACTGAGGAGAAGTTTCTGCAGATTTCTTGGKTTTTTTTTAATTGTTTGGTGAATTTTATCTGTCGTGCAGGTCGAGTGAAGTTTTTCAGCTTGACCTCGAAACTCTTCTTTATTTCAAATTTAAAATGATTTATAAATTGTCTGGTTTACCTTTTTAAAAAACTCAGATTCCTCTTTACAACTTATTACATTTTGCTCTAAACAATAAAACTTAACATGAAATGTATCATTAGAATAAAAAACACATTAAATTTGAGAGAATAAATCTATAAAACATCAAAAAACTGATTATAAATTGTCACTTCCTAAAATAATCACAACTCATTTTGTCCAAGTTTTACAAGGAACAAAAAAAATTTGTTCTTCTTTTTGGTTTCTCAAAAAAAAAAAAACAAGTTAGGTAATTCTTTTAGGAAGGTGATGAAACGTTTTCCTACAAGAATAGCAAGTTTTTACATGAAAATGATTTTTTCACAGCAAACACAAATGACAGTTATTAATTTAGTTTACTGAAGCAAATACCAATAAAAAGCACTAAATGTGGTTACACTGCGTACAATTAACCTTCAGGATCATAAATGTAATCCTGTCCAACTGGTCACTTAAACACCTTCAACATATTTTCCCCATAAACAATAAYTAGGATAACTCCTTACTTCATCCCCCCAAAAAACCCTGATTACAGTAATCCATCTTCAACACGGTCACTTTCATCACAACAGTTCTCTTCCTACCTACAAATAAACTTATCTAAAAGCTGAAATGTATAATATGAAAAGGCAGAGAACAGTTTTTATCACTCGTCTCTTTAAAAGCTCTCAGCAGACTAAGTGGAGAAAAGTCCCTGCTTCTTTCAAATGGAAGAACTTTTGTGACTAATTCATGAATTTTAGATTCAGTCTTATGTTTTATAGTTTGTGATCAGTTATRGCCACTGTTTTAAACAGTCAGTAAGTTTCTATCTATAGCTGTGTTTCCATTGCAAATGTGCTCAAAACTTATATTCTGTTAATGTTGAAAACACACAGTTTCACATCACGTGTGAATATGTTTGTTCTCATGATGTCATTACAATCATGGCGGCTACTAATGTAAACATGTGCACATTGCTACCACGACACCAGCGCTCATCATCAGCCATCAGAGACATCGGCGTCTTGTCGAGGCTTTCATGTGACAAGCCCCTTGGGAGCRGCTACGTATGCAGCATTTTGGGGAAATTGTAGTGATTTTACTACTTTCTTTTACTACTTCGGTGATTTTATAACTTCTACTTCCTGTTTTCTTCTTCTTTGTCATCTTTTTCGCCAGTAGAAACATCCGGTTGTTCATCACGTTATTCCCCTGATGTGATTACCAGAAAAAATTACAGCCGTCCATCGAATATATTGTTTCATGATTTGAAGTTAAGATTTTATGATTTGGTTGATTATAATATTTTACTATTAATGTACAGAGCTCATAAAGGTGTCTTTTCAACATTCAGGTAAATTTAGTTAAAAGAGAGAGTTTATCTTAAGGCAATAGAAATGTTTGTGAAACCTTGGGTTCATATGAGCCTGAAGGAGTGATCCACTTTAATCCAGGCAATAAGATTAAGGAACAGCCTGGAAGATGAGGTTAAAAATGTCAGATCCTTGTATATATTGAAGAGAATGATTAAAAACGAGTATTCTGAAGAAATA